TTCACCATTTTGATCTGTTATTATCTCACTGTCACATTCTTGAAACCAGATTGAAAATGATTACTGAAAAAAAAAATCGTCCTTTATCAACATGATTATCAAATTGATATTCCCATCATTGTATTTATTTTACATCCCCCAGACCCCATGTTCTGATTCTAGAAAAAAATTTCAAAGGAAACTGCTACTCGTTGTCCTTCTCTGCCTTTCAACTCTCCATCAAATGTAAAGAGTAGTAAGAAGACAGAATAAATGAGCAGAAGAACAGTGACAAATATTAACTACTCCATTTGCCCAAAAAAACAACATGCCCCATTATTTTGGCACATAAATATAAAAATTTCCATTAATGAAATGAGAAAGCTTCAACAATCATACATTTTTCCCATATATCCCTACCAACCACATCTCTTCAAAGTAGGTGGTCCTATAATTCAGTTATCATTAACAAATCAGTTTTCAAATAACAAAATGGATCGATTACCTTCATTATTTTCTCTTTGAGCCTCTCCTCTCGAAACTCTGCTAACCTCTCTATTTCTTCTTCTGACTTTAGATTCCTCTTTTTAAATGACCCCTCTCTAGCTTTCACATTTTCTTCGTGCTCTCTTCTTTCCTGAGGGAGCCTTGCCATCTTTTCCGATTTCTCTTGTGCTGCTCTTTGTGCTCGTACACGAGCAATCGCTTTGCCATCTGCTTCTTGGGCAGTATGGTGAATCTGTAGGGCTATTTCTTCTTTAAGTTTGTTGTAGCTATCCCAATAAAGTTCTTTCTCGTCACTCATTCCCACCTTAGCAGCTTTTGCGATGCTCTGGGCCCACGATAGCATAAACCTCTCACTCGATCTTTTCCATTTTAACTGTTTTCTCCATCGCATCATGTAAGCTGCTTTTATTTTTGCTTTCGTCTGATCACTACAACAGAGGACTCTTTAGAATCAGGATTATTTCAAGGAAAAGTTATTATCTCATGAGGCATAAAAACAACAACATATACTTGGACAAATAACCATTTGTAGCTGCTGGTATCTCGAAGACATTCAAGCCTTTCGACAAATAGCCACACGAAGAATGTTAAGGCGGACAATTTTATACGACAGGAACTATAAGTGAAGTGAATTACCTCATCACAATACGAGCAGATTCAGACATTTTCTTTCTAATCTGTTGTGACATAGAAACAAACACATAAAGGAGGAACAATGAATTCATCTTGAGCCCAGAAATCGAAATAATGAGTTTTTCTTTTCCATAAAAAAAAATAAAAACAAAACCTTCTCCAGGAATGATAACAAGAAATAGCAAAAATTCTAATGACTTGAACCTTGGGGTCTTCCATGGCTTCTTTTGTTCTGCGTCTGATTTTCTCACGAGTTTCTAACAAAAAATCCAGAACAACAAAGAGATTATTCTTATTCGACTCAGCAAAATCTATGATTTTCTCCTTTTACGGGTTTACATATGAAACATTACTCCACGAATGATTACTTTACCTTCACTGTGTTTTCGTCCTTTATTCCACGGCGCTCTTCCTTTGTTTCCATGACGGCGTTTTTTCCGCCTCTTTTTGCCGTCGATTCTTGACTGCTCACCGTCGATGTCCGGCGGCTCCTCAACTGGGCCAGAATTTACCGTCCCCTCACAAAATCGAGGTACCTCCCGCCATGGATGAATGTGCTTGTGCGTCACTGCTGTAGAGGATGAGTAGTAAAGTCCGGTACTGAACGAGCTGAAGAGGGCAAGGCCCACACGCCGGCATAGATTATTCTTCCGAAGAGATGATCCTGGTGGATAGGTTGTGTGCCGTCCAATGTAGGCGGCGAAATTCGGTAGATTTGTCCTGGGCGCATAAAATTTGATTGACATTTGAGAACACTGAGCTTGCTTCCTGTAAACAAAACCAGTAGGGGGATATCACGAGGGATTGTTCCATATAACCTTCCCAAACAAAAGATAATGTCAAAACAACTTTGACCCAAAAAAATACAATAAAACTTAATAAAAAATAAAAATAATTAACCAATTAAGCCGAGCTACAGATAATAGTTTATAAATTCATATTTTCAAGCTTTAACGAATATAGCCGAGCTCACGAACGACTAATTTTGTATAACAGCTCGAGTTATCTATAAATGCTTATTAAAACATAAAATCTCTCTCAGATCATATATCAAATACCCTATGTTCAATATCAACTACTAAAAAAAAAAAATGAAAAATCCAAATTATACAATCTACATATTGTGCTAAAACATTGCCCTAAATTTCACAAACCGGCGCAAATTGCCCTAAATTTAAGCCTTAAAATGAGCCCACATATCCGAAGAAGACACTTTTTCGAGTCCCCTAATGGGATAATTCTGAAGCATTTCATCATCCACCCTTTCATCGTTCTCTCGATCTATTGGTCTAAATCCAATCATCGATTAATGAATTGAGTAATTATATTTTAAAAAAAATAAAAATAAATTATTATTTTTATTATAAAACTATACATTAAAGTAACAAAAATAAGTGATTTATATGTAAATTTTATACCTCTTACTAATATTGTAATTATTCATACACATTCACTACATAAATAAATATATATATATATATATATATAATTTTACTTTTAAGGAAAAAAAAACAAAAATATATATGTGGACCCTTGTTTCCTGGTCAAATTAATCCACCCGGACCAATCCCAATAGGTTCTGGGTAAAAAAAAAAAACAGTGGTTTATTTCTTTTTTCTTTTATTTGCTTTTGTTTGTAATTCTATTTTTAAAATTCTTGTTTATGTTATGAAGGTCACCTCGTGATCGGTTAATGAGTTCCGCAAGACATATTATTGAAATGAGTTTCATCATATTTTTTCTCCATAATAACTCTTAATTGCAAGTTGTAGGAACAATAATATCTCGTATGGATCCTCTTTAATATACTTTTGATCACATAATCCAATGTCATAGTCCTCCAGTGACGGTAGATTTTACCCTACTAACTGAATTTTTGGTTACCCTTTGATCAACTAACTATATCAGTATGAAGAACATGTGTGTTGATATAACAATGCAAAATTATAATTGGTGACTGCAGTTATTATTTTAACACTATAAAGAAGAAAGAAATAGGTGTAATACATAATTCTTCTGGTAAATATATAGGTGATCAAAAAGAAAGAAATAGGTGTAATACATAATTCTTCTGGTAAATATATAGGTGATCAAATAGGTGCAAAAACAGAATACAAAAGCAGACAACTCAAAAGCTCAGCATGAACAATAAAGGACAATAACTCTTGACAATTTACAATTTTAATGCAACATTAACTAAACTAAGGTTATATTACACCAAAACAGCCAAAGATTGAACATTATTGTTCACAGCTAACTGTTGAAGGGCAATGTATATTATATTTCATGCATCATGCATGCATTCTTATTTATCTCGGATTAATGGTGTTGAGGATTCGGTCCTTCAGGCGCGGCTCTAGAAATATTTGCATCCGTTAACTTTGCTCTCCTTTGATAATATTCAAACTTAGCCTCGTCAAATCCCAACATTATGCCACGTTCTCCATTGCCATGATCGCGTAAGTGAAGTTCGGCTAGGAGACGAGAACGTGAAGAAAAACTTGCAATAAACAGAGAAAAAATGATCATGCTAAGTAACAAAGCTCTTGAGCTAACTCTAGACATATTCTCACTATATATGGGGATAATTTGGAAAAGAATATGTATGAATTTGGCTATTGAAACACTTTGAGATATGATATCCTCCCAGGGTGAGGAGCCCTTCTATATATATATAGGGACAAAGTATGAGACATTGGTTTTTTTTATTTTATGTTAGACCCAAAGATGAGACTACTGAAACTTTTTTTTTTTTCTTTTATTATGATGATTTTAGTAAGTCAGTGGAAAAAATATGAATTTTAATTTGTTAATCAATTAGCCTCGTATCTTTAATTACCGCTCATGATTTATTCACATGTTCAAACCCAATTACTTTTCCAATAACAAAAAGTTTGATCACGTTAATAATCTCACGTTGGATAAAGTCCCACATTGATCAGTTTCTTCCCCTTTCTTTTTTTCTCAAAATAAAGTTCTAAATGCAAATACCTTTAAGATATATTTACATAATGGAGAATCGTGTAGGCATATGACTACTAAAAATTAAAAGTTAATTTTGTCTTTTCTCAACAAGATGTGCTAATCCATGCATCAATCTACTCGGATCATTATATCTGTTCTCTACTTATGGGCCGTCAGTTGGTCGGTACGTGCGACGATAACTAACGTGGAATGATCAAAAAATGCATAGGGGACGCACAAAGAGTCAAAGACACAAACCTTAATTAATTCTCACCAATTAATTAATAGAAATTTAAGTGTAACTCTCATGTTAATGTCATCACCATGTCGTATCTACACGATCCTTATGTAATCGTATCACTTTTTTGAGTAGGTTTTGTGCTAAAAGGGAGTCTTTTGCTTAGATGAACATACTTTTGTTTTGCAAAAAAAATAAAATAAAAAAAATATATATATTTTCATAATGACATATATTATGCTGCTTTAAAATTAAAGATAATGTAGAACAACTATTATTGATCTACTTAGAACGATAATGTTTTTATTTAAGATATATGAATGTCTGATGGTTGACCAACTCCGATCGTTGGACCATCTAACAAATAATATATACTTCAGCACAAGGATGTTAGTAAGTAAAAAAATTTATTGCAATTTCGTCCTCAACCAAAAAAATTTCAAAGTTTTCAATTGTTGATACTCGACATCATTTATTTTTCTTGATTTGGCATCAAGTCTTACAAAGACTATATGGACGACCAAGCCCGCCACATAGTTAGAAATATAAATAAATAAATAAAAACTTTCTACAATCTACAAATTCCCAATCACAACAACTCATAGCCAACATGAAGGAAGCTTAATATAAGTTAAAATTCACAATCAAATTGAAGTCAGACCCCAGTCAAGCAAGCAGTCACAAGCTCAATCACGATTTAATTTAAAATCTCGAATTCACAAATCACATCCCAATAGGCTGCATATGCAATGCAAAATAATCACTGCTCAGTGATATCAAGTTAACAATCCGCAGACAGTACGAGAGGGAGACTCGAATACATTGAGGTTAGGGAGCTGATAGGGCATGGGGACTGCGTCCCGCAAATGGTAGCTTGCATTTAGGTTGGTGAAAATTTGTGGGGGAGTACGCAGAGTAACGCAAATTTATAAGAATTCAAAAATTAAAAGCAGAAGCGACTATTTAAACAATTTAGTTTTCAGGGAGCATTATGTTGTAGTTCTTTTAACTAAAGACAATCTAAAAGTATCAATCTATGGGTCGTATCTCAAGGAAGTGCAGCCCGATTAATTCACAGGCAACTTATCTCCCCCAACAACCAGTTGGTTACTGTCGAGCTCGATGATGGCAACTACCTCAACTGTAAGCAACAAGTGGAGATAGCCATCAAAGGATATGGCCTCGATGGATTCATAGATGGAACCAAACCAAGCACCTCATAGATTTTTGCCTGCAAATCCAAACGGTTAGATCACTCAAAATCCTGACTTCGCTACTTAGAAAAGGCAAGACCATCTTTTGGCTTCATGGATACTCTCATTTTTTATCTTATGGTTGGCTTGAGCTCTTTTAAGGACATATGGAGTGCTTTGCAAAAGAATTTTAGCAGTCGGTCTCGTGCAAGAGTAATGCAGTACAAAATGGAGATACAAGGTCTTAAAAAAGGATATTTAAGTATGAAGGAGCATATAAGCAAGATGAAAGGCTTATTCGATGGTTTAGCTGCAGCAGAACATCTTGTCTCTGAAAAAGACCAGATAATGCTTCTGATTGGTGGTCTTGGGCGAGGGTACAATCCTATCATGGTGGTTATTTCATCGAGAAATGAGCCTTGGACTATTATTGATATCCAAGCATTTCTACTTAGCATTGAGTCCAGGCTAGAGGCTGTTGGCTTGAGTACTTCTCTTGTCAACAATGATGGATCTTATACAATGGTTATGCAGCTGACACTCAAAACTCTTCAAGATGAGGCTTTTAGAACTCTTGAGGAATAGCTCCCTTCAATCTAAACTTCATAGGAATAGGAGGAAGACGACCAAATAGAGGAAGAGATGGAATATCTTCTAAGTTAAAGGTCCAATGCCAAGTTTGTGGCATTAATGGTCATTCAGCTGAAAGATGTTGGTATAGGTATGATAGTGGCTACATGGAAAGTACACCTGAGAACACAACAAGGGCTTTTAACATTCCATCTCTTAATATGATGCACACTCAAAACTTCACTCCTTCTGAAGCTGGATCTGGAAGAAGGTAAATGGTATTCAGATTCTGGTGCAAGTAACCATGTGACCAATGACTACACCAAGTTGAGTGTTGCAAGTGAATACAATGGAGGTAGCAAGCATGGGAAATGGTTCTATAAAATATATCACTCACTTGGGTAAATATCATCTTAAACCTCATCACTCTAGTAGGATCTTTGTTTTAAAAGACCTCTTACATGTTCCTAGTGTAACCAAAAACCTACTGAGTGTGTCTAAATTTTCCTTAGACAATAATGTTTATTTTGAATTTCACCATTCTAATTGTTTTGTAAAGGACCAAGTAACTCAGAAAGTACTACTCTAATGGGAGCTTAAGCAAGGGCGTTATCAGTTTCAGCTATCCAATTCACATCCAGCCTCATTTTCTTCAAAAAACAGCAACATCATTCAATTTGTTCCTTCAGTTTACTTTACTAGCTTTAAGAATCAGTCCACCTTAGACTTGTGGCACAAAAAGGCTTGGCCATTGTAATCTTGACATTGTCAAGAAAGTTATGAAAAGTTGTAAACTGCCTTTTGAGAATAATGAAAAGACTTTA